CCACTGTTCACACACATTAGCATATTTTGGATCTTTTGCAGTGTTGCATCCACACTTCTTGAAGTTGTTGAAAGTGTGTTCCATAATGGGTGGTTGATTCTTGGCACTCTTCCCACAATTGTATTTCCAACTTGAGGCAGTATTTTATTATATTCTGCCACGATATCTTTTTTGTTGCAATTGGCCATTGCGTTTTTGTAAATTTTTTCCACAACTTGTTTTGCAATTGTACCCAGTGTACAGATTGGTTCACAATCCTGTAAAGCTGGTAAAAATCGGGCCAGTGTGTTGTCACCTGCATGTGCATCAACAGCAACAATCTCCTCATCTTGAGGTAAATTATGCAACAGCGCTTGATCCATAAGCTTCTCCGAAGGTTCACTTAGGATGTGATCCTCTACCGTATCTGTATCCGATAGGGATCTTATCAATATTTGTTCGATTTGATTTGTTTTTGTTAACTTGCCTTGTTCTTGTGTTGTATCGTTGGAATTTTTGTCCTCACTGATGTGATGTATTTCTGTAAACGTTTCACTCATTTTTGATTTTCTGAAATCTAGAGGTTTTAAATTCCATTAGTATTTGTTTATTATTATTTTTCACGAAAGGTTGGCTCTTAGAACACTGGTACACATTTGTACTTTGCAGTTTTTGTTCTTGCCACCCTTTGCGAGGGGTGAGTCCCCCCGTGAGCTGTCGCTCCCGCGAGGTTCAAGTGGGTTCTGAGGCTGGGGGATCCATACAGGGGAAAGTGGTTCGGTATTCACAGTGAAGGGAATTTGGTTAGGGTGTAGTAACGTCCTGCTGAAATGGATGCAGTCAAATTCGAAAAATACATTACTGTACAGTTCTTTAGGACCAAGTAAGCAAAGAATCCTTCAAGCAACACCTATGTTTCGGTATAGAAATCAGTTAGGAACTTGTTTCGTTTTGATGTGAGAATAGAATGCCAGAAATACTGTAGCATACTGTATGCTTGTACAATATTTACAGTACAGTATATAGCAAATATGAAGAAATTTTGTACATCATTTTCATGCTTAGAAAAATTGTATCTGAGTAGGTGAAATTTTCCTCATTTTCAACAGCAATCGTTTTTCTTTTTGCTTGTTTTGAATCTGGGGAAATTACTCCTATGAAGAAAGATATACAGTATACTGTATTGTACAGAAATAATTTTGGTGTGAGAACTTACATCTGTTAAAAATGCAAATCAGAGCAATAACAGTGGTTTATGCATTTTTAACTACGTGTTGCACTGTGATAAAACCAGCATTTTGTGTAACCGTTGGCAAGATTGCATCTATCCAGACTCCAGAGTATGAACAAGTGTATTTTCACCTTCAATTTGAAAGATTAAAATGTGAAATATGTATTTTTCAAGTTTAAAAGAGAGGAACTCTGTCTTTTCAGGTTTTTTTCTGCAAAACTTTTTTGGCATGAATTATAGGCGCAGAAGAAAATCTGAATTTTTGAAACACAGTAATGCATGCGCGTATTGCTCAGTTTGTTTTATTCTTGCTCTTTTCACAGATTTTTGAAAAAATATCCTGACTCTGCAAAAAAAAGTTTGGCAAAATTTGTAAATGCTTTCAGAAGTTAAAATATTGAGGAAATGTTGAGATTTTTGCATTCAATGCGGAGTATAGTTAGAAATCATGGAGTCCCAGCAAATAATTTGGCCATTATCCACTTGCGTTTGCTCATAAAAGACGGCCTTATATAGACATCCAGAGTGGACATCTATCCAGGCGGCCACTCAGACCATAAAAAGCGGGCATTATACCTGTCTGGAGAGACGGGGATAAGATTGCCACTTCCCATGATGGTTATCCTGGTGGTTTGGGCCCCTCCCTGTATTTCCGCCAAGATTCCCATTTTTGTGACTCTGTTCCCTACAGCATCACAGAAACAATTTAAAAAAAATTACGGCTGCTATGCAGCCCTGTGTTTACAATGCCAGTACACTGTACTAGCATTGTGAATGCAGGGTGCATAGCAGCATGTTAACACACACACACACACACACACACACACACACACACACACTCAAAGGAAAGACATGAATAAACTAGCAACCTGCTGGGGATTCAAACCACAACCCCACAACTCAGTGCCCACAGCCATAACAACTGCACCAAACATACAGCAGTGATTGGCCAGAGCAGAAATTCTGGCCAGAAATACTCTAGCATGATTAGAGTTTCTGAATGAACTAAACATTTACAATATGTAATAATCAGCAATACAAGAGTATGACATTTGCTTTTGGGATACACTGCAATAGATCAAAATTGTAAGTAATGCACTGTGTCTGTGTCCTAACTCATAAAACATTTCTTTATTCTTACACTATTAATTGCAAATATTAACACTGTTACCATAGATTTATTTGCAAGTTGTTGCAATGTTGTTAGAATGCCACACAGTAACTGTTGAAAACACTCTGGAAACATTTGTAAATGAAATTTTTCATTTCACATGCATTTCATGCAACCACTGTTACACACTGTTATCATAATGTTGCAACACTTTTGTGATATGACCATGTAGCACTTTATGAGAAAAGTCTTTTAAAATGCATGAGACTATACACAATTCATACATTCATGCACCATATTGTAAATAATACAACTTGACTTTAATTACAGCACACAGCAGTGTGCACACTTGCAATAGTTTGAGAATTAACCTCACATGACAAGAATGTTACAACACTGTGGAAGCAGTGTTAAAACATTGTGGTTGATGAAAACAGTTTCTGGCCATCTCATGATGAGCAGCCACTGATCCTCCTGTGGTAACTGAACCTGTATAAAAGCCTT